GGGTGAAACATGAAGATGGTAATCCAATTCCACGGTACAAAGCTAGATTAGTTGTCAAGGGATTTAATCAGAAAAGGGGAGTTGATTTTGATGATATATTCTCTCCAGTTGTGAAGATGTCATCCATTCGTGTGGTTCTAGGCTTGGCTGCAAGTCTAGATTTAGAGGTTGAGCAAATGGATGTTAAAACTGCTTTCCTCCATGGTGACTTAGATGAAGAAATTTATATGGAGCAATCGGAAGGTTTTGAAGTCAAGGGTAAAGAGAATTATGTTTACAAATTGAAGAAGAGCTTGTATGGTTTGAAACAAGCTCCCAGGCAGCGGTACAGGAAGTTTGGTTCTTTTATGAGTCAGCAGGGCTTCAAGAAGACTTCTTCAGACCATTGTGTTTTTGTGCAAAAGTTCTCTGATGATGACTTTATTATTGTGTTGCTTTATGTTGATGACATGCTTGTTGTTGGTCATAATACTTGCAGGATTCAGAAGTTGAAACAAGAGTTGAGTAAGTCTTTTGCTATGAAAGACTTAGGACCAGCAAGGCAGATTCTTGGCATGCAGATTGTCCGTGATAGAAAGTCCAAGAAATTGGTATTATCACAAGAGAAGTACATTCAGAAAGTACTTCACAGATTCAGCATGGACAAAGCTAAGGTTGTCAGTACACCTTTAGCTATGCACTTCAAATTGAGCACAAAATAGTGTCCTTCTAGTGATGATGAGAAGGAAGATATGAAGAAAGTTCCTTATGCTTCAGCTGTTGGTAGTTTGATGTATGCGATGGTTTGTACAAGACCGAATATTGCTCACGCTGTTGGAGTTGTTAGCCGTTTTCTTTCTAATCCGGGAAGAGAACATTGGAATGCTGTGAAGTGGGTTATGAGATATCTCTGTGGCACTTCTAGTCTGAGTTTGTGTTTTGGTACAGAGAAGCCTATTCTTTGTGGTTATACTGATTCAGACATGGCTGGTGATGTTGATACTCGCAAGTCTACTTCAGGATACTTGGTTACTTTTTCAGGGGGAGTTGTGTCTTGGCAATCTAGGTTGCAAAAATGTGTTGCTCTATCTACTACAGAAGTTGAGCTTATTGCTGTCGTTGCAGCTTGTAAAGAATTGCTTTGGATGAAGAGATTCTTGGAGGAACTTGGTTGTGCTCAAGAGAGGTATGTGCTTTATTGTGACAGTCAAAGTGGTATACATCTTGGCAAGAATTCTACGTTCCATGGTTGGTCTAAACACATTGATGTGAGATACCATTGGATTCGAGATGTGTTGGATTCTAAGTTTCTTGAGCTTGAAAAGATTCATACAAATGACAATGGTTCCGATATGATGACTAAAGCTTTGTCAAGAGGGAAGTTTGAAGATTGTTGCATGGTCGCCGGGATGGCGGTCTCCTCCACATAGTCGTGAGGGGGAGAATTGTTGGGTTATAGGCCTTTTTCCCTTCCTATGTGGATAAATAAAAGCCCAATTTGGACCAACCCATTTTTGCCCATAGACCCATTCTTATGAGGCAAATATAAGCCTATTTAGGTCTTATTTTCATATACACAGAGAGTTTTTTCAGCAGCCAAAAAGAGAGAAAGAGAGCAGTTTTCGCAGTCAAAATTCAGCCCTAACAGCCAACTTCAAATTGCGATTCCCGCTTCGTTTCTTGTCTGATTGAGCTGATTTTTGGAAAGCATATTATCTTCATCTCAATATTTGATTAGGAACTGACAGAGTTGGATTTGGTTGCCTGCAACTTCAGTTTTGCTGTCGTGGACAGTAGCTGCGAAATTGGTAATTTTGCTCCTTTAATTCTCTAGATTTGGTGCAATCTTATTTTGTTGTTGCTCGTTGTTTGGCCCTTGTTTTGTGGCCAATTTTGGAGAACAATATTGTAAGTCTTGGTGATTATAGTGGAGCTTTTGGTCTCGTGGTTTTTTACTCTTCACATCGAAGGATTTTCCACGTAAATCTTGGTGTCTTCTGTGATGGTTTATTATTGCCTTGTTATATTTGTTTGGTTGAATTACTTGCTGCCTTACTATCATATTGCTTGTGGTTGTTTGTTTTCTCTTGGTTCAAATCGAGAAGGGAAAGTATAGACTTGGATATTCTTCCACTGTTATCCTGTCAGACATTCTTTGTTAATGCCTTGTCTTTCCCAACATTGACACGTTATTATTCATGTGTGTGGTGTTATTCATATAGAAATCTTGTATGTTTGTTTCCATCATTCATCCTCCTCCAAATTTCTTTGATGTTTTCCTAACATTTCCATTTATTCAGAAGTATAATGGTTGTTTTTCCCATTGTATAAGTTGTAATTGTTAACCTTACACAACTATGATGAGAAAAATGATCACTTATGTACATCAACCCTGCATTGATGTACATTCTTACAATAACATGAAGAGAGTGTTCTCTATATACATACCTAAATTTACAATTTCACTAATTACTCAACTTACTTTAATCTACCTTCACTTATAATAATAGTCTGATTGATTTTTGTTTCTGCAAGTCATTGCTGGAATATTTCCCAACACTAAAACATACAACTAACATCTTACAATATATTAGTTGAATATTTAGTGGCACAAAAACACAAGTACAATATGTGAATATCCAATGTTTCATATAATATTAGAGTATACGTATACCATATTTTGCATTTGTCAATGAAGCACGAGCCATTATATTTATACAAATGTTAGGCGAGTTTGTCATACAATATTTATATATATATTTGCCAAAACAGAAAGAAATATGTAGGTTGTAGGAATTAAGTTTATTCAACCAAAATAAGTTACTAATTAAATGATGCAAATCACAGCAAAATTATGGACAAATAAGTTTGTTAAATAATTAGACGAATTGCTAAATATTACCAATTTATCATTCAATATGGTTATAATTTCAATAAATTATTATATGTGGCTATAGTTTAATACAATTTGCTATTGATTATTTGAACCCATGGACGATTTGTACACGAAAAGAAAAAAAGTTCTTCCCTTATTTCTATACTCATCTACACAAATTTAATTTTATATCCCATCTCTCTATTCTCTAATTCTCTCCTAAAATCAAGGTAATCGCCTAAAACGTGTTTCAACTCTTTTTTTCCCTTTGTATATGATTTATGTTTTTTTTTTCTCAAAAATCTTTCTCCAAACTTTTAGTTTTTAAATTTTTCAGAAAAAAAATATGAAGAAACTTGGATTACTAGAGGTATAATATTGCGTGTCAAATTTATCGATGATTCACCATCATTTTCGTTGAGTCTAACTAAAGCATTTTAAGATATTGCAAAATTTATTGTTGAATGTAAATTGAAAATGAATTACCGGTCCATTGAAGAGTTTGGATCCGAGCATCAAAATGACTCAATTAAGATGTAACAAATTTTAATTCTAAGTGCTTGAAAAATTATGTATATAGAACTAATATTATATTTTTACAAATATACCATTAAAATGATTGTTTTAAAGTGATCTTAATATTCTCTGTTTGCGCTGTTTTAGATTCATTAGCAACGCAGACTGGGGGATTTACCTCTATGTTGCAGTTACAGCAAGCTACTGAGCAATTGTTTATGCATGCTGCAAATATAAATTCATTCATAAATATATATAAAAAAAAATTACTCTTAAAAGAAGCCAATACAAATTTATTCTTAATTAAATGGTTAATTTCAAAAGTAAATATAGAAAAAACACAATCAACTTAGATAAAGAAGTAATATTTAGAATGAATTTACCAACAAGGGTTGTGGTTGAGTGATAAGTACTTTTTGGGTTCGAGTTCCTTGGTACAGAGTCGCCTTTGTTACGGAGCGTTTTATCCTTAATATGAAACTTTCTGATGCGAATTCGAATTTAATCCTGTCACCGAGAAAAAAAATGAATTCTGTGTATGGTGTGAACACATCTAACACAAGAATATGTCATAGGCACATACTATTTGAAAGTTAAATGGTGAAAGATCTTGTGATGTATCAGAGTCAAAAAAAAGTTTAGGAGATCTCTTCATTTCATTTTAGATAGTAGTGTTTGACTAGCATATAGGTTAAGATTATTATTTTTTTATTGGTACCTTTTCATTATTCTTAACTTGTGTTCTTAAAGACATGGGTGATATGTTTATGATTCAAATATGTTCTTAAAGAACAAAATGAAAAGTTTAAAATTAAAAGAGTTTTTAAATATAAAGAAAAGACTCAAATATGTAATCGAACTTTGAGGAAAAGTTATTTTATATTATTTATTAAAAGTTTGACTTATTTATGTCATTTTCGTTTGAGAAAAGTTTATCTATGTTATTCGGTTAAAGTATGACTCATCTATATCATTTTCATTTGACAAATGCTCATCCATGCCATTATTTGTTATTGAAATGACATATATAGATGAGCCAGACTTTTAACGAATGACATTGATAAGTCTTATCTCAACGCTGACATATTGAGCATTTTCCCTTTAAAAATGATTTAAATAATGATCCAACCAAATCATAATTAATCACGTGTATGAAATGATTTTGCAAAATCGACAAGATTTTTAGTTAAAAAATAATGACATGAATGAACTTTTTTTTTTCAAATGAAAATGACATAAATGAGTCAAACTTTTAACGGATAACATAGATAAACCTTTTCTCAAAATTGATGACGTATTTAAGCCAAATTTTGTAAAACGAATTTGAAAGATTTTGTAAAAAATAAAAAGGAATAGAGTAGTACGATGAACAATATCATCTGAGACTCTTCCACCCAATAGACGACTCACAACAAATGGTTTTTCACCATTAGCACCAGCTTCAACCTCCATAGGAGTTATAAAGGGCAACAAAACAAGAACAAAAGCAATTATCAAAAACTTAACCATAATTTCACAAATCAAGAAATATATAAACAACCAAGAAATTATTGTTTTGTTTAATATGAGTCAGATTGCTTTTATATATATACAAATGTTAGGTGAGTCTTTTCATACAAAAAAGAGTTGATCAATATTTAAATGTATTTGCCAAAAATAGAAAGAAGAAAGAGATATGTAGGTTGTAGGAATTAAGTTTAATCACCAAAATAAGTTAGTAAATGCTACAAATAAAAGTAAAATTATGGGCAGATAAGTTTCTTAATAAATTAGACGGAGGTAAATAATACTAGTTTTAGGATCCGTTTCCACTTGATAGTTGAAATTAGCGTCACTACTAAAGTAATAATTACCAGTCTAGTAATTACACTGACATGTTTGATTGTTACAATGTAATTACACTGTAATTACACACGTCCTATTTGGATGCCACAACATAATTATGCATGTTCTTCTTGGACGCACACTTCCAATCATAAATAATAATAAATTTTTAAAATATAAATTAATTATTTAAAATTTATACTAGACAAATAAGAAACTTTATAAATAATATTAAATTAAATATTTAAAATATATTTAAAGATTTATTAATTAATAAATATATTTTCTGTAACTAATATTATGAAATTGATCGTAACAACTAAAAGTATGAAATTTTTACGAACATCGTAAAATGCATACTTAATAAAAATAATAATATATAAATAAAATATCATAAATTATTAAATGTTTGACAAAAATATAATTTATCAAGTCTAATTAAAAAATAATGTTTCATGTAAATATTACTAAAGCAAATGAACTGAAAATATATCATAAATTATAAATTCAAAACAAAAAATTTAACATCATACTCTTATAACGAATTTCAACATAGCAATAAATATGATTTATTTTTATTTTTTCTTAATAAAGAAACGTAAGTCTATAACCTTACTTAACAATAAATTCTAATTTAATTAAAAAAGTAAATACTAATAAAATTATGCTAATGAATATATAAGCATGACATAAATAAATAGATAAATACAAAAAAAATTACATAGAATCACATAAAGTAAGATTGAGAACAATAAGAAAATGAAAATATAATAATATAAAATAAAAATAAACTTTTACAAATTCCTAGAATAATAAAAATAAGAAAAGAACTTAAAATAATAGAAGTAAAAAAAATTAAAACAAAAAAAAGAAATTAAAAAGTAATCATGTGATAATTACCAACAATTCATTGTAACGTGTAATTACACCCTGCCAATTACACCAATTAACTGATGACCAAGTAATTACATGTCCTTTCAAACAGGACAAAATAATGTAATTACACCAAATCCAATTATCAAGATGTCCTTCTAAACAAATACTTAGTTTCAATTAACTATAGGGCGTGCTTATAGTATAATATAATTTGCTATTGATTATGGGATTCGTGAACGAATTGTATATAAAAAGAAAAAGAGCTCTTCCTTATTTGTATATTCATTTATATAAATCTAATTTTATATCTCCTCTCTTCATTATCTAATTCTCTCCTAAAATCACTCATACATATTAACTTTGAATTTCAAAATTTACTTTTTCCCTCATAATTGTGACATCACAATTCAAGGTAATCACCTAAAACGTGTTTCGACTCTTTTTTTTTCCTTTGCATATGATTTATGCTTCTTTTTTTTTGTCTCAAAAATCTTTCTCTAGTCTTCAAGTTTAAATTATTTTTTTAGAAAAAAATGAATGAAGGAACATGGATTACTAGAGGTATAATATTGTGTGTCAAATTTATTGACGAGTCACTCAAGCATTTTAAGACATTGTAAGATTTGTTGCTAAATCTAAACTGAATGAAGAAATTAGATCCATTAATGAGTTTGGATCCAAGCACCAAAATGACTCAATCAAAATGCAACAAATTTAAATTATAAATGCTTGAAAAATTATGTATATAGAATTGATATTATATTTTATTTAATTTAAAAAATATAAAATTAGATTATTATTTTAAATATATAAACTAATCTTATGTAACAACCTGTTTAGTCGTTTTGAGCAACAGACTTCAATTCT